AAATAAAAATTTAGCATTAGACAACTGAAAAACCCTTTTTAAGTGTAACTGAATCTTTACTCTTAAAAAAAAGGAAAGAAAAAGAAAAAAATGTGCAGTTGAATCTTTCTTTTTTTTTTTTTTTAATCCTCGGACTTCTTCTCACATCTTTCCTATTCCTAATTATTAGGTTTAGGATTCGAATATTGCTGATAACGGAGAGAAATATAAAAGTTCTCTCTTAGCTATTGGACTAATCCTGATTGTTAAATTTTTTATATGCAGCATATGTATAAACATCTGGCTACAAAATAAAAAGTTGATTTCAATTTTCTGATTGGATTCACTTCTAACTTCTTATGGTTTTCTCATTTCCCAAGTGTTCTTTGATTGATTCTCATCAATACCTAACACAAACAAAATTTAGCACACAAAAAGGGGAAAAAAAAACTCAACCAATTACAATCTAGTTGAACAATTCTTCATTTTTTATTTTAAGAGTTTTTTTTTTCGAGTTCTCAAGCTAAACAAAATTTTCACGTTTTAATAACATAATTAATTGGGATCAATCTTTCCTATACTGTCAGTATATACACTGACGGGGTTGGATGAATGCCACATCATATTAATTTAAATTTAAATATCAAATTTTATATATATGGCGTGCATCTAAACCTGCTAGTGTATACATTGTTAGTGTATAAAAGATTTATCCAATTAATTAACATTTAATACCATTTTTATTTAGTCAACTGATATAGTTGACAGGACCACCCTTGAACCAAATTTCAAATATTCTTTGAGAATCTTCCAAAAAAAAAAAGAGAAAAGGAAAGGTTAGAAAAGGACATATATATATATATAAGTAAATCTTATATACACTAACAGTGTATATATTATTACGGTTTGCTGCATGGCATATATGCAAAATTTAGATTTCAAATTCAAATTTGGCTTATGTGTTATGAATTTAATGATAAAAGTGTATATACTGTCAGTGTATATAAGATTAATTATATATATATTTATATGTGTGTGTATGAAGGATTAGAAAAACTAGACAAATATTTTTGGAATAATAAAATTACAAATTTACCCCTGACCAACAAACTATTCAAATCTTGGGGAATACTTCCCATCTTTTGTGAAAGAGTTTATCAATTTACAGTGACAGATAGCAACAAAATATTCCCTCTTTGATCATCCCGATTCCGATTCCGATTCCAGATGTATAGCTCTCGATTCCTTCTCCTTCCCAACGCGTCTCACCATCTCAGCTCATCTGCAGAAGAGTCCCTTTGTTTTTTCCCTCAAATCTCAGTTCTAAGATGACACAAAGAGCCAAACAAGCCGCTACCGCTTTTTCTTAAGGACTCTGTCGCCTTCGCTTCATGGTCCTCCCTTTGTTCCTTTTTTCTCTCTGTTTTTACGTTGTGTTACTCATTCCTTTCTGGGTTCCTCAGATTTCATTGGATGGTATCCGAATTTTTTTGATTTTGGGGAGGTTGGTTTAACTTGATTTGATGTTGGTTTGTTCCCATTTGAACTGAATCTGGTCTAGTTCGCATGATTTCTTTGTTTTGATCAAGGTTTCTGAGGTTTGTTCCGCTAATCTGATTGAACTATTGTGATAATTTGATGAGAATTGGCGAATTATGCTGGTTTCTGTTCTAATTATGGACTGATTAGCCATAATTTCCTTATTTTTCCTCTCTTCTTGTGATGGTTTATCTCGAGATTTTGTTTTTCATGTTAAATTGGTATAGTTTTTGTCTTTCTACTGTGTCTCTGTAGTTAAATTTGAGCTGAGGCAAGTGTATTCAGTTTTTAATGAGTTTATGATGAATGCAGAAATTGAGGAATACAACTAACAGACAAGCTGCCATTGCAATGGGGGAATATGATGGATCAGAATATGTGGTAATTGATGAGGTTCCTCCTCCTAGAGCTGGTCATAGTAGTAGGAAAGTTTCGGTTTTGCCCCTTGTTTTCCTCATCTTTTATGAAGTATCAGGGGGCCCATTTGGGGTTGAGGATAGTGTCAATGCTGCTGGTCCTCTTTTAGCTCTTCTGGGATTTTTAGTATTTCCATTCATATGGAGTATTCCCGAGGCGTTAATCACAGCTGAGATGGGAACTATGTTTCCTGAAAATAGTGGTTATGTCGTTTGGGTTTCAAGCGCTTTAGGACCGTTCTGGGGTTTCCAGCAAGGTTGGGTGAAATGGTTAAGTGGGGTTATTGATAATGCTCTGTATCCTGTTTTGTTTCTGGATTATTTGAAATCTGGTTTCCCTGCAGTCGGTCATGGTTTCCCTAGGGTCCTTGCTGTATTGGCCTTGACTATTGTCCTAACTTATATGAACTATAGGGGTTTAACAATTGTTGGATGGGTTGCTATTCTGCTTGGCATCTCTTCACTCCTGCCTTTTGCTGTTATGGGACTTATTTCAATTCCTAAGTTAAGACCCGGAAGATGGTTGGTGGCAGATATTCACCATGTAGATTGGAATTTGTATCTGAATACCCTCTTTTGGAATCTGAACTATTGGGACTCTATAAGCACACTTGCAGGAGAGGTAGAGAATCCAAAGAAAACTTTGCCAAAATCTCTTTTCTATGCAGTGATTTTAGTGGTTGTTAGTTATTTCATTCCTCTTCTGGTTGGAACTGGTGCTGTTCCACTGCAGAGGGATGAGTGGACGGATGGTTATTTTTCAGATATTGCGAAGATGCTAGGTGGTGCATGGTTGAGATGGTGGATTCAGGCTGCTGCAGCTATGTCAAATATGGGGATGTTTGTTGCTGAGATGAGCAGCGATTCTTTTCAGCTTCTTGGTATGGCTGAAAGAGGAATGCTTCCTGAGTTCTTTGCCAAGAGATCTCGCTATGGTACACCTCTAATTGGGATCCTTTTTTCAGCTTCAGGTGTGTTTTTGCTTTCATGGATGAGCTTTCAGGAAATAGTAGCTGCTGAGAACTTCTTATATTGCTTTGGAATGATATTGGAATTTATTGCTTTTGTCCGGTTAAGATACAAGTATCCAAATGCATCTCGCCCATATAAGATTCCAGTGGGAAATATTGGATCCATTCTAATATGTACACCACCAACCATACTGATATGTGCTGTCCTGGCATTTTCTTCTCTGAAAGTCATGATTGTAAGTCTCATTGCTGTTGTCATAGGGCTAGTAATGCATCCATGTCTTAAGCATTTTGAAAAGAAAAGATGGATGAAGTTCTCCATAAGTTCTGATCTTCCAGATATTCAAGCTACTGCTCGCGAGAGCACAGAGACCTTTATTGCCTAACAAATATGTGGTATCTTCATATTCAGAAGACCATTTAGCCCAAAGCAAGTTCCTGATGCAAGAAATTTCAAATTTTAAATCCTGGAGAAAGCATTGCTATCTTGGACTGAAGGCCTAAAACGTGGCCAGAAGATCTTTGTGGATGACAAGCATGTGATGAGAGCTTTTGGGTCTTGTTAGATAATTTCCTTACTTTGATGCTTTTATGCCAGGGGAGGTTCTTACCATCAGAATATGTATATTTGCTTCAGTTTTAGTTAAAATTGATGTTTCCTGAAACAGAAAATGTTTTATTATTGGAAAAGAACCTGTAGTTTTTAGTCAGGCTACTCTGGGATGCATTAGCAAGTTCATGAATAATGAATGCTTGTTGATTCTTAAATTCTTGGTCTCCTGATTTTTTATTCATGGTAATTAGATTAAACTTCAAAGCGGAAATCGTTGGACTCGGCATCATCAATCAATAGAGCAATTTGTAGAGGAGATACTTGTGTTTGATTTATGTTTGGATACTGAAGATGTGCCTGGTTTAGTCCTTTTCTGAATCGATTTTACGCCCATGAATCTTGGTAGATGTTCAAGTTGCAACTTACAACCTCAGTCAAGAGAAAAGCCTGCCTTAAATTAATCATCTGGTTGAAAAATCACTCTTGGCTTCTGTGCTTTAGCTTTTAGCTTTTGGAAAATGCTTAATTGTTCTTTTCTGTTCTGCTGAAAGGTTGAGATCAGATTGGCCAAACTCCTATTTTTGAGATTACAATGTCACAAACCAGCCCTAGATCTAAGGCACACTTGTGATTTTTGAATACCAGAGGGAGGAAAATCCAATGAGATTAAATAAAATGGCGAAATAGGAAAAGAATAACTTGACAGTAAAGAAGAGAGGGATCAAAGTAAATTAAAATTACAGAAGAAATCTATATGGTTGTCAAAACTGGGGAAGCTAGTGATTCCAGAATATTTTCTTTGAAATGTAATTGTGCATTAAGACAACTGGTTTGGTATTGCTTTCCTTCTGTAGAACAGAAATTGAGTGAGAAGTAAGTCTTGTAGAATTGAATTTGTTTACCTCCCAAATTCTGCTGTGGGATAAAGCCACAGCTTTCAGAATAAATGTATTTCTTAAATAAAAAGATGCTATAAAAAAAGTTGTTTTGCACGTAATACGTTCACATACCTAGGGACTAGACTCCTCTCCATTGCATCGGCGAGAACTTGTTTCCATTACACTTGAATAAAATTAATTTCAAAATTATTTTCGAAGATCAACTCCATTCATAATGTATTTCTGTCCTTGTATTAGTTATACATAAAATTTTGCATGAAATTGGCCAAGTTCTGTCTTCTCCTCCTGAATAATCGTTGCAAAATTTATCACAAATTTGACCCATTTTTCACCATTCAAAAAGTTTTTGTATAAATTAATATCAAATTATCATAAAAAAGTATAATTTTTTCGTACATTGATTTAGAGATTAAAAGAAAAATAATGATATAATAGCATAATTTTATTACATTTTATAATTTAAAATATGAATCAATGAAGAGATCAATGGAGATAAATCTAATGGAGAGGACCCTAACATAAGCCCACGTCAAGGAACAAAAAATTTTAAAGGTACTATGGGAGAACTCCTTTTTCGTCAATATGGGAATGTAATTTTTTGTTCCTTCGATTTTGGTCAGTCCTATTGTTTAAAAACAGCTTTTCAAAGTTTTTTTGCTACTTCAGAAATTTCGGCTTGAACCACCATAGCATCTTTCTCAAGGAAGCCTCTAGAAGAATTGTGAACCTCTTTCAGGGAGAGAATGTTATCAGAACCACAACTGGGGTTGGTAGAAGAAAACCACGAAGTACCTGCAAAACAAAAATGTTGTTCAAACACAATTTTTATCACTAGAGAAAGAATTAACATTATTGTAGGTGGACAAAGGTCAAATTTTCTATGTATGAAAATGAAATCTACTCGTTAATGCTAATTTAGAACATATTATGAATGTATGCTTAGAGTTTAAGCACGTTTGAGACCTTAATAATTAGGAGTTCTGGTTCAAATCCTCCTGCCCTATTCCCCTCCTTCTCAAATTTCACTCTTCTCTTGCTTAATTTTTTTTTTTTCTTGAAAAGAGACTAAACAAGTTTTTTTTTTTTTTTTTTTATATTAAAGTTTGATTTTTGCATATGGATAATGGTCAAACTATTTATATCTGCATTCATAATTATACAATATATAGCATGATTTGCCTAATGGCGTTATAAAATGTATCATTATTCATTTTAGCCATTTTTAACCTTCATATTTGTAGCAAACACAACCTTGCAAACATAATAATCTCATCTAAGGTTGAAAAAGTCCAGATATGACAAATTCATTTTAAATTCATTGCTTTTCTAAGTAAAACTCTCAATCGTCAGGAAAGAGGAAAGAGAGTTGTTAGAGTCTTTTCTACTGTCAAATTCAGAGTTTGAATCTTGTACCTAGCAGTTGGGAGGTGGAAAAGATATGGGGAGGGTGGGAAGGTAACCAAAAAAAAAAAAAAAGAATAGGACAGCTAAATAAGGGACATTATCCAACCCCTTGCAAAAAACAAAAAATGAAAAAAAGAAAAGGTTGTTTACCTGTATATATTGCATAACCGAGTGGTTTTGGGTTCTTTATCGAAAGCTTGTATTCTGCATAGGTTTTTATGTCATTCTTGGGCTCAGCTAATAGTAGATACAGTGAAAAGCTTTTGCCTTTCTGCTGACCAAATCCTTTGGGATAAAACTCCAGCTTCCTGAAATTGTAAAAGAAATACCAGCTTCTAATTAAAAAGCTACTCAACTGTGATTAACAGGTTTTTAAGTATTATCTGGAAGGAAATACCATTACTAAAATTAAGGTATAGACGTACCAATTGCAATTTCCCACAACAAAAGCATCAGAATGGAGAAATTCTTGTTTAAGCTTGGAAAATTTTACTATGTTGTATGTATAAATGCCAGAATCTCTCTTGAACAGTGCCCCATTCTTTCTTCATTTCATGATATCGCAGTGTTTAAAGACAATGAACAACACAGGTTGTGTCAGGATATGATAAATGCTAATTCTGATATAGACCCAGTTTACGTAAACTGCATTTCAAGAACAAATTTTTGGAAAGAAATTAAGAAGATTACCTTCAAAAACTAATCAGTAATTGTCTCGAATTTGATCGTAAACGAAGAATTTGAATTTCACATGGATCTCCCAGCCAGGACGTAGGGAAGGTATGCTATCAATTAAAGGCCAGCTATAAGGAATTCACGGGACTAGCTATGATACGATTTTTCTTAAGATGGTAAACTACACTGGGGGTTCGAGTCTATTAATTGTGATGTTACATGGGAAATATGTAAATTGGGCCTATGTATTGTTAGGGTGTGGACCAAATTGGTCATTTAAGTTTCCGTACAAACATGTTTAGCCCCATTTTTTTAGATAGAAAAGATCATTTCATTCAAACAAATTTGCACTAATGGCAGGAAATACATCAAACAAACCTGACACAGATACATATAGATCTGAAATCAATAGATATAATAAATTTAAGAAAACAATACAAATAAAGATAACATTGATGCTCCTATATATGTTTCATCCGGATGAATCACTGTAACCCAACACATCAGCGCATGTCTGCTGACAATTAGATCTGATCTGATTAAAATTAATTCAAGTCCAAAGAGAAATTTAGATATGATAATAATGGAGAAATTATAGATCTGAAAAACTAGATTATAGATGTACAAAATCTCAAATTTCACAAAGATAAAAACCTAAAAAACTCTCACAAGGAAAAACCCAAAAGATAATAAAATTCTCACTAGAATAATCTAGGAGAGAAGAAACTCTCACCGGGAGATTTTAGGAGAGAATAATAGAATTTATTCAAATAAGAAAAACTAAAAACTATAAAGAGTACTGCCTCCCATGGGGAAAGACCAGATTTGGTTTCTCTCCCATGGGAGAGATGAAGAAGATTTTAATTGGAAGAGTTCTAGAGAGAAGGGACAGAAAAGAGTTTTAGAGAGATGAAGCAGATCTTGATTAAAAAACATGTTTAGCCCTTAAAATACCAATTTTGACTAATTTTTGGATAATTGATTTTGTTCCATCCAATTTGGTGGAAAATTAGTATCAACGGCTTGCTCTCATCAATTTTTCTTTTTCCAATTCAGATAGAAAATCATATAGTCAATTTCTCTTCGAAATCACAATGAATCAAGCATCTTTCAAGAACATTCAAAGTAATTCAGGTACAATCAAGGTTCAGATCCGAATTTTCACTTTACAAATATAATCGAAATCCAATTGTTGCTTTAGAAGTTATGCTTTCAGGGCTAATTCATCCTAATCATACAATCATAACTCAACGATCAGGAAGAAGGGGAATTCATCCTTGATTATGCTCTTAACCAAGTTAAATAATTGATGTAACAGAAAGCGCAAACGAGTGCACCGGAAGCGTAATCTGCTGCAGGCATATTTTGGTTCGACTTCTCCTCCACCATTGTGATATTGCGTGGCTTTTCCGATAGCTTTCTTGGCAAATTATATCAAAACCTGTTGTTGCAGTTTAAAGAGTTGCCATCAGTCAATCATGATACATAGGCTGATCCCTTATGAATCCTATAGCTCAATTTGGGTTGAATTTGGATTTAAATATCACTATGCAATCCCATGATCTTGTTATAAAAAATACATTGTTTCCGATGAATGATAATAATAATAAACCGTTTCTAGTGAAGTAATAAACAAAAATAAATGTTTTTAGGGCTTTGGTTTTGCAAAAATAATAAAACCCTTTATGTCAGGTTAGCAGATACAAGTAATTGTAGATCTCAAGCTACTAATAATAGTTTTGCAATACCTCTTGAGGGCTTTGGTTTGGCAAAGTTTCCCAAATATGAAGCGGAAAAAGGTTGATGCAAGGAAAAGTGATTATGTACTGGAGCTCCCAGAAGATATTATTCAACATATTCTATCGTTCCAAAGCCCTGAAGAAGCAGCACAGATGAGTCTCTACTCCAAGACATGGTCTAGCGCATGGTGTACTTTTCCTGTCTTGAAACATCACTTTGATGATTGCAGATTACAACATTTGCATGAAGTATGAGAGAACCCTGCATTTGTTAAGGAAATCGGAAAAGAATTCAAAGATTATGTGAAAGAATCCCTGCAAAGATACTGTAACCAGAATGCATATATTCAGCAGCTCCATCTTTCTATTCAGTGCTTGTTTTTGAGGGATGTATCTTCTTTGATTGAGAATTTACTAGATATTATTGAAACAGCCGGTGTAGCAAAAGAGCTTCGGTTTTTAGTGCTTCACACTTATCTCACAGGGAAGACGATTTGCCTGAAGTCTTTACAATTCTTGAAGCTGAAGCACTTACAGAGTTTTGTCTTGCAGGGTGTAAGTTGAGGCAGTCAATTACCTGTAAAAAGAAGATCCAATGTTGTCGCCTGAGGAAATCATCTCTAAAAAAAGTGCATACGGATGAAGCTACCCTACAAAGCATATTATCGAGTTGTCCCTTGATTGAGAACGCAAGTCTCATTAACTGTTCTGGTTTGAATCAAATTAAGATGGTGAATGACATGCTTTATATCCTCAAAGAATTGTTTGTTTCTTCTACATTTTGCGGCACCACGGCTGTTGAAGTAGCAGTACTAAAATCTTGAATCTCTTCACATTAGATCTTTTGCTTGGAAGTCGTCGAATTTGAAGTTGTTTCCATGTCCGCATCTGAAAAAAGTTAAATGTTTTATGCACTAGCAATTGATAAGGATGGATTTTTCAATGATTTCGCGAATAAGTTCCCAAACCTGGAGACCTCGAGTGTTTTAGAATGCTCAGTTTACAGAAAAAAAATCAGCATGTATATCAAATAACTCGATCAAGTCTACGAACTTAGGATATTCGTCTGCAGTAATAGCTAGGAGATGGGCATGAGGTTGAAACTAACGCCTCAAGCATTGCTTAGTTTGCATACGAAGGTGATAAATTACCAAAATTTTAGCTCTTTCGCCACTACTAATTCATCAAGTAGATGCAAGTACAAGACAAGTATACGTTGGCAGTGAAGTAGATTCACATTTGTTGCTAGTACTGCTGATTGGTCGATCCAGCTCAACGAGATGTTAAAGAAAATACTGCTACATAAGTCCCAAGTGTCACTCTCTATCGATTTTTCCTGTACACTTGACACTGAAAATCTTCTAATACATCTCCCGGTTGAGGAGCCTGGAGTTGTGGTGGAGGATTTGACATTGCACACCTCTCCATCACGACCACTGTCATCATATTCAACTCTTATAGATAATCTGTCCCTGATTTGCCGACCAAATTCCATCATTCTTGCTTTGGATAACAATAGTTGTGATAAGGAATTCGCGAAGGTGCTCTGTCAGAGGCTGATTGGTAGAAGAAACTCAGACAACTGTGATCCAGGGGACAGTCAATTGTGGGAGAAAGATTTGAAGGAAGTAAAAGTTGAGGGTAGTAAGGAGAGGGAGGGGCAATTTGCAGCTGTTGACTCGAGAAAATTGGCTGATTCATGCTCTAGATTACATCCTGGCATGCTGCCGATGGAAATTTTGTTCAATTTGAAATGGTAAAGGATGTTAAAATGATGGAAAATTTTAGTTTTGAGATTGATGCATAGGTTGTAGGAGAATCATGAAAAATTAATCATCTAGAAAAATTTCCTCAAGAAAGAGCTAGGTGCTGTAACCATGGTTCAAAGACTCAGTCGAGTCATCTCTGGAACAGGGCTTTCCGATCCGATACCGTGGCGAGATGACTTCGAGATACTGAATCACTGAGAACTCGGCCTAGACGTCTCCGAGACGGATAGAAATGGTCAAGTCACTCGAATCATCCCGAGTCATCTCGAGTCAGCTCGAATTTTTATTATTTCTAATTTTTTAATTATTTTTTTACAAGTTTTAGAATATTAAATATTTCAAACCGAGACCGCGACCGATATGCCAAGATCGATGTGGCATGGTCTGGGACGTGACTGCAACCGTGACCACCACTTTGAATCATGGCTGTAACTGCTGTTTCATGAATAGTATGCGTTCTTGATTTGTGAATCTAAATTTCTTTTGGATGAATACCATGCGAGTTACAGTTTTCCTTTGGTGAATGAATCTGCAGGCTTGTGATTTTCTCAAGCGCAGTGTCTATTCTGCAATCAGAGAGTTCTAAAATATTCCGCTTTTCTTCCGGATGAATACGGTACTACTATACCATGCTAAGTCACTAAAATAAATTGCTAGTTTCTCTTGGGGAAAAAGCCCAACCCACCCAATGAATAAGTTGAGTTTTTTACTCAACCTATCAAAACCATCACCCAACTAATTCAATCCAACCCTTGAAATTAGTGTGCGCATTGGATGGATTGTTAAATTTTGGATTCTCAACCCACCCAATCAACGACTTGGGTTTTCTCAACTCAATCCACCAAAAGTCATCACCCAACTAAACCAACTCAACCTTTAAAATTAGTAAGCGAGTTGGATGGTTTGTTGGATTTTGAGTTTATATTTGTCAAATTTACTTACAATGAGAGTAATTGTTAAACAAAGCAGGTATAATTCACTTGCGTATACCTGCGCTTGGTTGAATTTCTTCACTTTGACATTCAGAGCACTGGGCAGAAATCACATTGCGTTAGCATCCACAGGGACTATCGCAATGCTTTGTTTTAATTAAATAGTCGGATTCCCCTTGTCCGTACCAGTTTTGAGTCGACTGTTCGACGCCCGGGGAAGGCCTCCGAGGGAGCCGTTCTCAGTCCGTTCCCCCGGCCTGCATGCGGCGACCCGCTCTCGCCGCGGGAGCAGCTCGAGCATTCCACCGACAGCCAACGGGTTCGGGATTGGGACCCCCGTGCCCAACCCTTAGAGCCAATCCTTTTCCCAAGGTTACGGATCCATTTTGCCGACTTCTCTTGCCTACATTGTTCCATCGACCAGAGGCTGTTCACCTTGGAGACCTGATGCGGATATGAGTACGACCAGGCGTGGACGGCACTCGGTCCTCCGGATTTTCAAGGGACACATTGTCCAAGACATAAGGTCCTTTTTTTCCTTTTTCTTAACAACACAAGTTTTTATTATTTCTTGTATTACAAGTTTTATTGTGTAATACAAGATATAATCCCAAATTTCAAATGATCAAGTTTTATGTATGAAAATGCACCTCTTAGTTGTGCCCATGTGGTAGTAACTTAGCAAGAATACTTCAAAAAGTTGAGAAACAAGCATTCCTTTGTTTGGATGGCATTGCAATTTCTCAGAGATTTTCCATTTTTGCCAAAAACAATTTTTACATATGGGTTACTATATATCACCAGTTTATGCGCGTCACCAATCCATCGCTTATGTGTATTTGATTGCATGGAATTCCAACTCAATATATTGGCAAAAGTTACCTAAAATATTGCCATTCTTTATTTTTTTGGTTAATTGCAATTTATTTCCCTAAAGTATATCTTGATTCCCACTTTACCTCAATGTTTTAAAAACCGGACCGTTAATTGAACCGGTAAAATGAAAGGATCGAGGTTCAATCGGTCAGACCGGTTCAACCTCGGTTTAATGAAATTTTTAAAAAATAATTTATATAAATATATATATATATGCATAAAATAAGACATGTAATGGACTAATTTAATACTTTATATGATGAAAAATTTACTATTTTTTAATAACTTGGATTTTTAAAAATAATTTTTTTAAATTATAAGTTAAAACAAATAACTTTCATCTCAATTTCAATTATATCTAAATCCAACCCAAAAATATCACAAAATTTTGAAATTATACAAAATTCACGTCTATGAGAATTTAGACATTGTGAACTTAAATTTTAATTTACGTTTTGGGATTTAGAGATTGCAATTTAAAAAAGAAAGTTTGGAATTCGATGGAAGTCAAGAGAATCGAAAATAGAAATGGAAACTTGATAAGAAACAAAAAATGAGATAAAAGTGAGTGGTTGTGGCATTAAATAATTTGGGTTAAAGAAAAATAATTCTTTTTTAACTTTTTTCAATTTAATGGACAAAAACAAAATTAAAAGATGGAAGAAAACATCAATAAATTAAAAATAAAGAGGTTTGATTAAAAAGAGTGTGATAAAAGAAAAGAGGAGAGAGAGAGAGAGAGAGAGAGAGAGAGAGAGAGAGAGAGAGAGATAGTTGAAGATTAAAAAGAAAGAGCCATGGGAGAATGAAATTTTGTAAGAAAAATGGAAAAAAGAAATATGAATATTTGTTTTATATAAATAAATTATCAAAAAAAACTAATAAGATGTGATGGTGCAACAGTTAATACATTGGTTTTCTGTTACAAAGGTCTTGAATTCGAATTTTGATAGTTGCATTTTGCAAAACTTAAAAAAAAAAAAGGAAAAGTTGAAAACCGGAAAATCGCCGGTTCAATCCGGTTCGGCGTTTTTCACGGTTCAACCGGGTTTTGACCGGTTTTCTGCCAAAGT